AACTTTTTATTTAAATGGTTATAACTTTTAATATAATCATAATATTTATGAATAATAATCTATTTATATTAAATAGTTATGGTCATTTGTCATATGATAATTATTTTTATCCAAACATAATTATTTAAAATATGAATAAAATTAATATAAAAATTAATTTTATTCATTAATAATTAAATCTTTTTATCCAATGTGGAATATACCACATTCTAAACTACCAACAATCCCTCACTAGTTTGAAATGTTAGTGCTTAATTTTTACCTTTCACACAAATAAATATTATGAATACAAGAAAAGTATTTCTCGATTTAAACCTTCAATTAGCGTATATATCTTAGAATTCTAACTAAGTTGATGGTGTCCACAGTTAAATCTCAACTCTTACTGTTAGAATTGAAGATTAATACACATAATATTTATTTATTTTCTGTCAGAGGTTTATAACCGTTTTTAGTACTATTATGGCCATGTGCTTATCCTATTCATAAACATTTACAAGAGAGACATCAATTCTTTTGTTGAAGTGGCACCACTTCTATGTTTATAAAGTTAGAGTTTCCATTATGTCTCTATTGCTCTAGACATTTAAAACTCTATTAAGAGTATAAAACTCATCCTACTCACACAATGGATCACAATAGTTTCTAAATTTTAAATGAAATTTACTAGTGTTTAACAGACACATAACAATAACTTATTTTTACTCATTAAACTTTGTAATTAGATATTACTAATTCAAAGTTGAGTTCCCATTATTGGTGTCTAATAGTAACGTTTTAAATCCATTCTACTTGTAATACTACTAACCAAATATTTTGGAATGCAATTTTCTTTTATGGTAATTACCCTTCACTTGAGATTGAATCTCTAATATAATTACTTCAGGCTAATATATTCAAACTTTTTCATTTTGCATATCATTTATATGCTCCAGACATTGTTGCCTCATTATTATCATTTTAAGAAATAGTTAATTTTGGTTGTGGCCACAACTCTATACTCATAACTTTCGACCATTCTATTTTCATACTTTTATACATCTTTAATACAATTATACTTCTAGTACAATTGAAAAAACTCAATGAATAAACCAAACAATTTTAGTCCTTTTAATATTTTTTTAAGGATTTTTTTATGACTTTACTTTAATAAATGTTTAAACTTATTAACTTGTATAATTTGCTTATAAAATTATACTAAAATCTTACAACACTATGGTAGTAATTTTTTATTTCTTTTGATTTTTATCACTCCCACCATGTGCAAGTATGCATTCTTTTATTAAAGAATATCTCATTCAATTATCAAGATATCATATATACTTAATCAAGTTACCATTTCATTTATCTTTTCACTATTTGGTGGTTTTTTTTTTTAAGTAAAAAGCCTTCAAATCCACCCTTAGTTAAAGATAATTAACTAATATCTTAATATTCAATAAAAGTTCCAAAACCTTTATATTTTAACTCAATATAAAAGTTTATATCAATAAGCAGATTTCAAATATAATCATACTTATATAATCTTTGTTTATGAATTTTATGTCAATTCATAAATATTTATATGAATCTAGTTCATCATGGATACTATTAATAATTTTTTCATTACCATGAACAAAACCATTTTCATCACCCAAATGGATCAAATAGCCTTCTTTTTGCTATTATAAAAGTTTTCAAATTCCCAAGATCTTTGAATCATTCATGGCTTCCAAAGTAAATATACTTTGAAATTTTCACTATGTAAAACCATAGATGATAAATCATTTGTACAATCTGTGAAATAGACTATATATATAACAAAAATTACCACAACGTGATCAAGATTGTGACATCAATTTTGGCTTATGGCTATTCTAAGCCAACCATAATAATCCACCTCATACTTATAAATCATATAGATTTGGCTATTAAAATTATCTCATTTATAATGATGGCTTTTAGTAAAAATCAACTATCTTAAATGCTATCATGAGTTTTCAATGCATATAGTAATTGCCTAATGGCTAATTCCAAGTTCATGATTATTGAAATCTCTAAACTTGATTTCAAAATTTTATGAGAATTTTATTTCTCCATCATTGTGTAGCCTATATATCTCTGTAATTTATCACTTTTAATTGGTCATAACATTTTCAGATATATAATAAATTCAAACTTTATTTATAGGACCAATATGTCTATAAACAATAAGAGTCCATAGTATATTTAACTCCAATTTCAAATATTTTCACAATCATTTTGTGACCAATATATTCAAATCTAAATTACCATATCAATGCAAGTCATGAAACATGAATCCAAAGAATCATTTCATAAAATAGTATAAACAATAATTATAATATGAGTTCTACTCATATTTCATTCAAAAATTCATGATGAATTTGCATTGGTTAAATCATCGATTGGCTAACTCTAAGGTTTATGGCTTTTACAAACCAATATTATTATTTAAACCCATATGTTAATATGGTATATAACCATCCACAACCTTGCCATTGTCTGAAACTATTAAAAACCTTGAAAACTTGTTCACTTTTCATTTTAATAGCCTACAAAAGGTTATTTTTTCGAGTACAAGAAGCAAAAATACAGTCATTGTCTTTAACCAATAATGTATTAAATGGATGATGACATTCTATCTCCAAAGTCCATATCTTTCTTATCTATATAAGAAAAAAATTTCCATCACATTTAGTTCATTTTCATAATATATGGTAAACTGTACCAATATTTTTCATGCCATCACAAAATGGAATTAAACACATGCATGTATTGGTACCTTTGGAACATTGAATTTGCATGTTCTTTTCTAATTTATAAACACGCCTAATTAGACATTGATAAGCATCCTTCAAAATGCCAATAACTGACAAATGCTTTAATATTTTTTAATTATATCAATATTTGATTTATAAACGATCAACAAAGATAAAATCATACAAATAGCTTAACTCAACTTATTATCTCAATTTTGGTGCCATGATTTAATAATAATACTAATCCTGAAGCCAAATTTTATTTTCTACATATATTCTCTACTTGCATCTAATTTCTTTACTCATTTTTTTATTGTTTTCATAAAAATTATGGGACAATTTTCCTTTTCTATATATAACAAAAACATGACAATTAAACAATCGGTCATTCTATTAGAATCCAGTTTAATTCGTTACTTGATAACAAGTGATAATTTTTTTGGTTGTAGATTAATTCATGTCTTTCTCTTTTATGTTTTCAGGTTATTTCCCATATTAGTTTTTATAAGTATCAATTTTTCAAATAAATATAATACAATTCATTAAACTCAATTGTAGAATCAATTTCATTATATGCATAAATTTATGCAATGTAATCAATTTTTTACATAATTGTTGGTAAAAAGATTGACTGAATGAGATAAACACATTAATAATTTATTTCATTAGTATGTGAAAAATAAAATACATACATCTAATGAAGATCTTTATGAAAATTAACATTTTGGTCTATAAAAACATTAATCATTTAACACCTTGAAACTTCTCTAATATTGATCTTCAAATCATGCCAATGTCTTTTCCTTGTATCTTTCTCGTGTGAAATATAAATTTCTCATAATTGTCTTTAAATTGTTAGAAAAAATAAATAAGAGAGGAGGAATAATAGAAAAAAATTTTGGTTTTGAGGCGTGAAGAACACTTTTTTAAAGATAATTATGCCTTTAGGATTCAATAAAGCTTCAAACTCTCTAATCAAAAGTAGTGAAAATGGTTATACTAAAATATTTATTTATAATGAATGAACAGATATAAATTTTATTCAGATGGTTATGACCTTCTGTATAATCATGATTTTTATGAATATTAATTTATTTATATTTAAATAGTTATGATAATTTATCATATGATAATTATTGCTATCCAAACATAATTATTTAAAATATGAATAAAATTAATACAAAAATTAATTTTATTCATTAATAATTAAAATTTTCTATCTAATATGAGATTTATCGTATTCTAAACTATCAACACATAGAACAAATCAAAAGATTCAAATGTGCAGACCTCATGATTGTCCAAAGGCTGCTGCATGTACTTTTAGGAATGCCTGGTATAGTTTTCCCACTCATTAGCTGACCTAATATGTATGCCTGGCTTCTCAAAGTCAGTGTTGTTGAGAAAATTTTCTGAGGGATGTAGTGTGATGAGTTTTTCACTTCAATTAGGGGGGATTTTCCTTTCCGGATTTGTTCTAACGATCATTTTCAGCAATTGATTTGCATTTACTTGAAGGAAAGAACTTTCTGTATCCCTTTTAATAATCCACACTTGTCTCTTCCTTACTAGCTTAAGGAAAAGTTTGTAGGTTTGGTGGCTAGTTTTGTTAGTAAAAGAATAGACAGACAAATAATATGTCTTGATAAGTATTTTTCCTTCCAGGCGAAAAAAGACGTTTGTTTCCTCTCCTTCTACTGGCAAGGGGGGGGGGGTCAATACCATCATCTATATATCTATCTAGACGATATTAATTAAGAAGTAGAAGTTGGCGATCGTAATTGGAAAAGAATCAGACTTTGTAGAATGGCAGATGGCATTGTCATGTAATTTACTAACAAAAAGAGAATATATAAATAAAAAAATAAATAAAAGAAAAAAAAATCTTTCTTTAGTTAGATAGATAGTACATATTCTTCAAAGTAAGAGTCAGTCAGGCAAATAGGCAAGTGAAGGAAGAGTGAAGGGCCAGCAAGAAAGTGTAGGGGAATTGAACAAAGACAATAACTTGATAAAAAATGGAAAATGGTGATGGTGGCAGACTCAAACGTAAAGGATGTGGTGATAAACGAATGGTGATAAAACAACGGGGGAAGAATCTATAAATAAAAACGTGAGTTAAATAGAAAGAAAGCAGTGGATAATAAGAGGAGTAAGGAGGAGAGGAGTGGACTGGATAGTCATAGATACAACTGTTTCGTTTTTATTATTAATTATTATTATTATGAAATAAAAATACTTTCTATACTAACAGACTCAGACTAGTAAAGAGCTAAAGAAATGGCATGGACGTTAATCTTACGCAATTGTAAATTGCAAACCCATTTACTTTACATTGAATGAGAAAGTTCTGGAAGCAAAAAAGCCACCCTCTTTCTCCATTTCTGCAGCTCTATAATTGGCTTTTTCCTTCTTTTTTCCCTTTCTGATTTCGCATCAATTGCCTGCTTCTAATTTTGAATCTCCAGATTTGCTTCTGATTTGGGTGTTGGGTATGCTGCTTCTCCATCTCTCGGCTTATTTCGCCTTTTTTTTTCTTCTTTTCTTTTAGAGAATAGTTAAGCGAGGATCCGGTGATGAATCAGGTGATTGATTATTCGGTTTGTGAATTTGATGGCATCGAAAAGGATCCTCAAAGAGCTCAAGGATTTACAGAAGGACCCTCCAACCTCTTGCAGTGCTGGTTGGTTTCTACTCATTCTTTCCTTTTTCTTTTTTTTTTTTTTTACTATCCTTAAAATTTAAAGATGTTTCCTTTTTACTTTTAACTTCTTTCAAGTTTCAACCTTGCATGGTTGCCTTCCTATCACCGCTTTACACCTCTTTCGCTAATTTATTTTTGTGTTCACTTCCATCAAGATGTGGTCTTTTTTGCAATGCAACCCAGCTTCGAATGCTTTCATTTTGACTGATTCTATATAACTGATTTTCACTGATCATTTTCATTAAATGTAGGCCCTGTAGCTGAAGACATGTTTCATTGGCAAGCAACGATTATGGGGCCCGCTGATAGCCCATACGTCGGAGGAGTCTTTCTAGTCTCCATACATTTCCCACCTGATTACCCATTTAAGCCGCCTAAGGTACTTTTCCTCTGGATACTGCAACCTCTATTTAGTTTCTATTTTATGTGTATCTTCCTTGCCTTATAACAATGGCAAAAAACTTCACATGTAATGTGATAACATCATCCTAGAAAGCGAGATAAGGGAATTCTGGGACGGAAGTCTCTTCTTAAATCAGCAACTCTCTATCAGCTCTCTCACTTTGTTTTAGATGGAGTTGCCGTCTAAACAAACTCACTCCAACTTATAAACAATTTTAACCTTTTTCTAATTTTGGGATGTCCCTATCTTATATGTCTATTCCTATAAAAGTGAAAACTAAAGCGGGGATAATTGTGAGATACTTCACATGGATTATAGCTACATAAACTGTCTCATATGTTATTGAATGGTGGGAGTGGCAAATATGATCATATTGGCTTCATTTATTTTCTAATTTAATAATGGATGAAGTTAACAGGAATAACAAGGTTTAGCATGATCTCTTTATATCGTGCTCCAATCTAGTAGGATTGTTGTGGATCAAACGGGACATGCATATTTATTGATTGCAACTTTTCTCATTACCTCTCCTCACCATGGAACCTTGTAGCAATCTGCAACATTTTTGGGGGGAAATAATGTTCTTTGGATTGTGGTTTCCCTGCTAGAAGAGAAGTGTTATTTTGGGATAGGGAGGGATGAAAGTGAATGGGAGGAGGGAGGAAGAAGGTGGTCATAAGTTTATGGTGAAGAAGGACTGTAAATTGCAAACACAGACTCCTTGAGCACACAAACATATATGAAAACATATATTCATGTATTTGTGCAAAATTTCATATTTAGGTTTTGGGGTTGTTGCCAAATTGTAATTAAGACTTGGCGAATGTTATGTTCCTTATTATTAGATATATGAATCGGTCAACTTGATTGTGTCTTTTTTTGTGTTTCAGGTTGCATTTAGGACCAAAGTGTTCCACCCAAATATTAATAGCAATGGAAGCATATGCTTAGATATTCTTAAAGAACAATGGAGCCCTGCACTTACCATTTCGAAGGTTTGGTTAGTTCTTTGCCTTCCCTTTGTCATTGAGCAGCTAATAGTTTTTGATGAAATTGAAGATCCAGCTGATTTAATCATTAATAGTCTGTACGTTATCACCAGCTTTTTAATGGAGCTAAGTGGATTGTGATGTAGTCATTTGACATATTTCAATCCAAATCCTCTTCATAATCCTGTTTAGGAATTATTGTGAACGACAGACTGTTCTGTCCTTTATAATCCATAATTCCAAGTCTTATGCACGGATAGTATACTGTTTTGTTCTTTATAATCCACAATTTCAAGTCTTATACACGGCTTTTAATTTTTTGGTTGGTGGAGTAATTCAACGCATGATTCCTTGAGTTTCTCAGATTGTGATTGGAGTACAGTTGTGTTGATCATCTCTTGGTTGGAGGGGTAATATCTCAGTATGCTTATTTATCGATACATGGGGAGAATACCTTGCCACTGATGGCTTTCTTTATTTCAATACCCTCCTAGACATCCCAACCTAAATTCCAGGATAATGAGTACTACTGTTAGTATGTATTGAATGGAGCATAACTTTGTAAATGGTGAAAGCTTGGGTAATCGCAATGAAACTTCAGCACACCAATACATAGTGCTTGCTTTTATCGATTGACGTGGTTTTATGCAGCTCTGTGATTTAAACCTTGCAAATGTTTGGTGCAAAGTAGGTTGTAATGCTTCTTTCTTATCAACTCTATTATGTGTTGTAGGTGCAGTTATCTATTTGTTCCCTGTTAACAGATCCAAACCCAGATGATCCTCTTGTTCCTGAAATTGCTCATATGTACAAGACTGACAGGACTAAGTATGAGGCAACTGCTTGTAGCTGGACTCAGAAGTATGCAATGGGTTGATGGTAATAAATACCCCGTGGCAATGCCCAAAAAATGAAAAGGGATTTTCTAGTTCAAATGTCATTTAGGTGAAGGAAAATTACCATGCGAGAATCTTATGTTGTATATATTACCATAGGACAATGTTTTCTAAGTAAGAATGCTGGTTTTCTAAATTATGTTTATGTAGAATGTAGCTGGTTTTCGAAATTATGTTTATGTAGAATGTATTTGTTGATAAAATTGTGTTTTAGAAAGTATAATTTTTAGAATGAAATAAGGGATATTCAATTACTTTATTTCAAAATGACAAAATTTGACAATTAGAGAATAGCCATTGGGTATTTGAATATTTACATTTTGGATAGAAAAATTGAAAGTTAGGAAGAAAGTATTCAAATGTTATAGGTTGAGTATTGGAATACTCACATTTTGGAAAGCAAGCATTCAAATCTTCTATGTTGTGTAGATGAATATTCACACTTGAAAACTTAAAAATAAATTCTTAAAAGTATTTTTCCATTTCAAAAATTGCATCAATTTATTTGAATTATAGTTGTTTGAGAAGCCTTTTAAAATTTATAAATATTTTTTTAACAACTTTATATATTTAGAAAGATTAAAATCAATTTTTTATTCTTACAATCTTCTTTGCTTTAGATTGAAAAGGTGTTATGTTTCGATATCAAGATGCAATACGATTACATTATCTTGAAGTAAAATTTTAAAGTAATATGAAATTTTTTTTTAATCATTTTAAAATTTTTCAATAAACTAATATAGTTTATCAAGCAAAATCAATATCTTTAATCTAATTAATGATATATCTTTATATATTCAAATACAAATCATATAAAAATATAAAATCGTTTTATAAGATTTCATTGACCAACATTGTCTTTGATGATTAGATAATCTTTCCTATTAGATCTTACAACTTTTCACAAAACTAAGCAAATTTATCACTTATTCATTTTAAAAAAAAAAGTAAAAGAGGAATGAGCAAATTATAGTTCAGCAAGTATAGGCTTACACATCTTATTAGATCAAACATCGTTTTCATATATATTATGTAGATCATTCAAAATATTTGTCAAATTATAATGTCAAAACATTTCTATATCATTATGTCAAACATTTCGTAGATCATAAATCAATATCAAAATATATCAATTCATAAATCATTGCAAAATATACTACCATTCAAATATTGTAATCAAATCAAATCATGAATCAATCATTAAAATCATCATAAATCATCATTATCATAAATCATTAGTTTATCATTAATTACGGTCACTGTTATAATCTGTGACATTGATCGTATCGACAATTTTATCCTTATGATCAATGTTAACTATTATAACCCGTTAATCAAAGCTTTACGCTAACTACTATAACCCGTTAGCATAGTCGTATGATAATGTCTATGATAACTACTATTACCCATTAGCCAAAGCCGTAGAACTAGTTATGATGTCGATGATCTCACTTTTTAAGGTAAAAATGTAGCTATCATAAAATCGTTCCTTAAACATAAATCATTTTCTCATTCATTTATAAACATGATCCATCATTTACATAGCAAAAACACAAATAATCATATGCTTGGTCCTATTTTCATATATAAAAAATAATGAAATAAAATATTTACTCATTTAGAAACATAAATATATACATAAGTTTGAAAACAAGCAAAGTATATGAGATTCTACTTACCTCTTTTCGATTGCACCACTTAGTTTTTCCTCAAAATAATTAATGGCCTATTCAAGATAATTTCAATATAATAGAAATTAATCAACCCATTTCAAAACCAATGATACCAAAAATAATTAAGTTATACAAAAGTTAACTCAACTAACTAATATTAGCAGCCTGATCTCCTTTTATTAAAATGATCATATCTCAATATATCCAAATTATAATTAAGATCTCTTTAATGCATTAAAAACTAGACTTGATAAGCTTTCTAACCATATAATTCCTTATAGATTAATTATAACAAATTTTGCAATCCACATCATATGCTGCTGTCAAATAGTATCTATACCTTATAATAAAAATTACACATTTATTCATAGGAAACTCCAAATTTAATTCCGCTTGTTTTGTTGGAAAGTAAACTCAATAAGCTTTCCAAACATATATGGCTTAATTGTAATTTCTTGTATAAAATTTAAGACAATTTTCGTAATTCAACCCTGATGCTGTTGCTTTACAGCCTACATATTCTTAAGTAAAAATTAGACAACTATTTATAGAAAACTCATATTCGACTTTCGTTTATTTTATTAGAAAGTAGATTCAACAAGCTTTCCAACAATATAAAATACTTATAGTAATAATCTATCTATTAACACAAAATTTCATTTTAATTCACTGTTGTAGATCATAACATCATATTAAAAAAATATAATTTTCCTTCAATTTTTAAAAACTAAAATCCACACTTTCAGCCTTTAAACTCCATTCAATAATCATCAATAAATCTTAAAAACATGAAATAAACAAAGCCCAATAATTTATCAAAATAGTTCATGAAGATTAATGAAAAAATTTGTAATTTTTCTCGATTTTTCTCTTAAGAATTCAACTCCAAATAATAGCAACTAACATGATATTTTTCTTATATAAAAAGAGGGTAGATACTCACTATTAGGAAATTAACTAGATTGTAATCTTCAATTTTGGATCCTATACTTGATTTTTTATGCTCTCTAACCCTAAAGAAGATGAAAAAGAAGAACTCGCATTTTCTTTTCTATTTCATGATAACTAGGTTTTTCTTTGATAAAACACTCAGACACTTTTTCTTTAGTAATTAACCTCTTAATTAACTTAATGAGCTTTAGTAATAGTTTAGCCCAATTATCATTTGGGCTAAGGTATTACATTCTTTCCTCTTTATAAAAAGTTTCATCCTCGAAACTTGTTTTACATCCATATCTTATTCCTCCATTTCTGAAATCACTTCTCTTGCCATATGATTGTTTCATTAAACTTTTATAAAGGTAACAATTCCATCTCAAAACTTGTTCTTTCCAATCAACCATTCAAATAAGATAGTTTCAATATGTTAAAACTTATATCATATTTAATTTCTAAATACTCATATCCAACCACATAGCTTGGATTAATAATATATTCTCTCATCATAGATTTATAATATAGTTTGTATAATAGATATCTGAGATGGCAAGATCTTTTATATTGAATTTCTTTCACTTTACCAAAAACTTTAAATGTCCTTATATAATGCAAACTTAACCTTCCTTACTTTATAATCCTCGTAACACTTTTAATGATGACACATTTGAGTACAAATGATTAATCACTTGAAGGTACAAATCTTATCTTTGAATTTCAGCATAATTCATTTTCTTACTTTAAACCATTGCTTAATCAACCAAAATTTATCAACCATTTGTTTCAGAAATTCAAGAAATAAAAGTTTTTCTTCTTTATCCTTATGTCAATAAGTCTAAGACTTAGATCATCTTTCATACAAAATCTTAAAATGAATCATTGAATGTTTTTCTTATGACTATCATTATAAAATATTTCTCTTCAAGTCATGACATAAGCATTTATTAAAAGAATGTGAATCAATGATAAAGCCTCAAAAAATAAAAAGAACACAAAATATTCTTACCCAAAATCCATTAGTCTTTATTTATTAAAGATTCATCACTTTCGAAACTAACAATAGCATAAAAATTTACAACTTAAATCAAATTAGGTTCCACTGCGCATTCTGATATTTTTTCAATAAAATTCTAACAAATTAACTTTCATAATATTGTTTCATAATAAGAAAAACATGTCCACAAATTTTCATGTAATTCACTTTTACGTCAGGTATTCATAACCATTGTAGGTATCAATTTTGTTTGATTTCATATAATTTTTTTATTATATTATTATTATTATTATTATTATTCTTAAAAAAAAAGAAAAAAAATTGGTTTCAACTCTGACAACTGAAATCAAGCTGCCAAAGTGATTTTTCTCTCTTTTAACACTGCCTAACTTGGCAGCATTAAATCCAAAAATTTTCACATAAGCATCTTAAGAGATTTAGGATTTGAATCCCATAAGTTGTATAAATAAAGCTAATTTCTACAAAACATAGGGAGAAAAAAGAGAGAGAACCTAAAGGAATAATATCAAAAAAAAAAAAAACAAAGAAGAGTTGAAAAAAGAGAACACAAAGGGAAGCCTCGAGGTTCTACAAAACAAAAACAAAAAAACAATTACAGTTATCTTGGACAGAGACACTAGCAGCAAACACAAAAAAAATTCAGAAACAAAAAGACCCCCCGAGAATGAAATTCTTAATATAAGAGGTTTGAGATTTTTTTTTTGAAAAATCTGATTTTGAGATAGTGTTTAGAAAATAAAAAGGATCAATTTGGGATTTTTTGAAAATTTTTGAAAAATTTTTTGGGTCACCGAATTTTGAAAATTTTTGAATTTTTCAACGACCTTTAATTTTTCTAGTGACCAGATTCTACGAATATTGCCAGATTGTGGAAAACTTTAAAATTTTGATGCTATTGAAGATTCTAGCCATCGATGCACAACGACAATTGGCTATAATCTGGGTTACTATGACCGTCGACGGTGGGGTTAGGTTTTTTAGAGAGAAAGGCTCTACGGGTAGAGAGAGGGAGGAAAGAAAAAATAAAAAATAGGCATTTTATAGGCGCTCCAAAACCAAATCATTTTCGGCGTCTGACTCATGTCCGACCTGCATATGATCCGCACGTCGATTTGACCCGTTTGGCAGGTTTTCCTTTTCTTTGTCTTTTTATTTTTTGTTTTGATTTTTATTTTATTTTTATGTTTTTTTATGTTTTTTTTCTTTCTATTGTTTATTTATTTATTTATTTTCTTATTATTATTATTATTATTATTATTATTATTATTATTATTATTATTATTTATTATAGAAATAAATAAAAGAAATGAAAAGTAAAATTAAAATAAAATATGAACCTAAAAAATATAATATGCAAAAAAATTAATAATAATAATAATAATTATTATTATTATTTAAGGAAAATAAAATTTTATTGCAAGCAAAAAGGTTATTTAAATTTCACCAAAGTATTGAGATAATTTAAAATATAATTTTTGCTAAAAAATTTTTAAAAAATAACAAATAAAATAAAAAAATGATAAATTGTGTAAATGAATCTTTTAAATGT